TTTTTATTTATTTATTTTTTTATAGTAATGTTATGATAGTAGAATTGCAAATGAACAGAGTCGAAATGAGCTTTCAACTGTTTGTGCTTGTGTAAGAGTGTTCAAACCCGACTCATTAGTCAACTTTTATCCCAATCTTTAGCTTGAGATGACTTATTCTCTATTTGGTTGGAGGGATGAAAAAATGGATAAAAGGAAGAAGAGGAGGAATTGATAAAGCATCTCTAGAGAAGAGAATGTGTCTCTTTCATTTTTTCTCTGGTTAGATGAAATGGATAGTAGAAAGGATATATAAATGAGGTAACATTTTTTATTTATTTTTGGTTGGAATGAATGAAGAGAGTTTTTATATTATTTTTACTAATACACTCTCATTAATGTAGTAGGGCTCAACAAGCAAACTTAGTTAAAAATGTGAAGTATATATTTGTTGCTTATAACCTTCTCTCTCCAATTTTCACGTGGATAGAAAAATATAAATAAAGAAGTGATGTTTTATTCCTTCTTATTTTTTCTTTTATCTTTCCGTCTCTCTCGTACCAAACACGAATGAGTTATTTTATCTCTCCTCTCATCCATCATCCATCATCCCTCTTCATTCCTTCCACCCAAACAATCCACAAATCGTTAAAGAGGGAAATTAACTATAATTTTAAATAATCTTTAATAAAAGAGTCATGTGATCAAAGACTTCTAAAGCTTTTTCACAAAAACATTCCTGTGAGGACATTGAATGCAAAATAGATAGAACGATTCAACTTAGCAATAAAAATCAGCATTTGCATACCAAATATAGTAATAAAAATAAAAAATCGGTATATCCGTGGTTGAACAGGTCATCATCATTCCACAAAAATAAAGGACCTGGTTCTTCCCCTCCTACCTGGAGGGAGCATGTGCATCAAACTACAAGGTTTTGGTGTATAGACACGGAATTCAATATAAATTATATGTAGGACGATTTATGTGCACCAAAACGATTCAGGTCCAAAATTACAACCACGCAAGCCATAATTTTTAAAAAAATAGTAGTGAAAGTGTTGGAGCTATCACTATAAGTGAATTGTTTGGGAGCCAAAAACTCTTAGCTTCGAGGAGAAAGCATCTTAATGAATATCATCCAGTAGATTTTCTCTTTCTCTAGACTCTAGTCACTCCCCAAAGCCTCAATAAAAAAAGAGTTCTCTATTAGGCTTCTTTTGAGTTGATGGAATTGGAAAGAAAAGAAATAAAGGGAGCGATAGTAATTTTCATGTTTGGTTTGGTTAAAAAAAAAAAAAAAAATTAATTAATTAAGAGGATTAGAGGGATAGCTTATCGTCTCAGCTCCATGAGTTGAGACTGTCAATTGTTCCTCCATTTGCCACACTCTTCAAATCAAATCTCCTAAAAACCAATCTAAACACCATATTATATAAAATATATATTGACATATTGAGCAAGGCAAGAGAGGCTAAATTTGAGCCTGCCTAAAATTTATTGCAATTGTCAAACTGACACAACCATAAAATTTGTTCAAATCTTAAACTGATTAGAATTGTCTATTCATTTTACAATTAGGCTGTGTTTGACGGCATGAAATTATAATTTTGGAATTGAAATTAGAATTAAAGTTAGAGAAAATTTTTGTTCAATTTTAACTTTTTTTTTTCTTTCTAATTTTAAAATTTTAATTCTAATTGCAAAACTCCAATTTCAAAATTTCGACAATGTGAAGTATTTGGTGTCTAAAATGGCAAGTGAATCCATTGTTCAAAACAATATCACGTGCTTATAGAGAGGAAGAGAGAGAATAAATTTACACACTGTGTTTTTGCATCTGACGGTCGAGTTTAGGACTCGTCCTTTGAGACACCTTAATCACTTTTATGATTCGTCCTCTGAGACTCCTGAATTTATGAATTTCCCTTTGACACTCCTTAATCACCGAGCCACCATTACAGCTTAGAAAAGTGCATATACAGATGTCTACATTCTGTGGGGACCATGGCATAAAATGGATAGAAATTGCTGATTTTTAGCCAAAATAGCCCAATAATATCTTTGTACTATGCTTGAAGTGTCGGATTGGGATCCGAAAATACCAATGTTATGTTTGGGAGTAATTTTATTTTTGTCTTAAATTTGAAATTAAAAAAAATTTAATATAAAAATTAAAATTAAACTTCCTTCAATTTCAAATTTAATAAACTGATCCAAAACTCCAAAATATAACACAAATCCGAGGACCGCTTGAAAGGGTGTTAATTGCTATTTTAACTTTTTTTTATATAAATTGAATGATATTAGAGGAATTTTTTTTTCCTCAATTGGTAGCTCACACACACATGCATCCTCTAAGGCTTGAATTTCTGACCTTCCTTTGAGAAATAAAGACCTCATACCGTTAGGTCACTGACCCATTAATTAACATGGTTGACATTAGAGAAATTTGATATGGTATTTTTATTAAATTGTAGAAATTAATTACTTAATGCTTCTCTTTTGTAATAAAAAATAGATTTGGCATGATAGTAGGTTTGCAAACAAGTTGAGTCTAAGTTAAGTTGAGCTTTCGACCATTCGAGCATGTGTAAGAGTGTTCGAGTTCGACTTATATTAACTTTGATTCTAATCTTGAACTTGAGATCAAATTGTTAAGGAAAAAAATTAACTACAAATTCAAACAATCCCTAATAAAAGAGTAACGTTCGTGAAACTTCTCAAACTTATTTATGAACATTCACGATCCTAACTCAAGTCATCGTCCCTGATAAAAGAGTCACATTTACGAGAGTTCTCGAACTAAGAGTCACATTCACGAGAGTTCTCGAACTAATTTATGAATGTATGTTCACGAGACTAACAAGTCAAGTCATCAATTAGTTTTGGTTTTACGTTTATCTAGGTGCACCCCCTCTCAACCCTAATTCACCATAGTTTTTCAATCTGAGAAAACGGAAGTTCTGTTTATAGACACCACCTAACTTTTTTAGTTCCAAAATTGCACATGCTCACAATTTTGCTCCTAATAGGCTCTAACACTCAAGAAAATGAGAGCTCGTGCCATCATAATGTAATGTTTTAAGGTTATATATATATATATATATATATATATATATGTTAAAGTTATTAGATTTTTTTAAAAAGCTAGTAGGCCCCACCAATATTTTAAACATCACAAAAGGGCCTGATAGCCATTGACCAGATTGCCTTTTCTCTCTCTGCGTATCTCTCTCTCTTTCATCCAGTCCAATAGCTTCATTTTCCTTTTCTTTTCTTTTCTTTTTTCTTTTACAATTTCAAGCCTTAATCTTTCTCACACCAATTGGAATTTGGTAGAATCTTGTGAAGTAAAGTCAGAGAGCACAGCGAGATCTACGCGTGGGTACCAATAGTTTCAGCTTTAGTGCTCTATAGGGGTTTCGAATTTGAGACCCATTTTGGGATTTTTTTTTCTCTCATATGAGGTAGGGGATTTGTAAGGCATAAATACTTTGATTTATGTGAATTACTTCTCAATTCTTTGTTGAATATCATGTTTAATTTGTGGCAATTTTATGGAATATAAATTTTCAATGTTGTAAGTGATATGTATGTGTTGGATTTTGTTGATTTTATGTGAAGAAGCATGCCTAAGTAATTAATTCCATGTTTTATATGCCTAATGTGTCGAATACTTGTTATTAGAAAGCATGATATGATTTTTATTAGAATTTATTTATTTATTTGTTAAGCATGTTATGTGATTAAGGTTTGAATATGATACATGAGAATGTATAATTGACACGGTATCGAAAGACATGATTTTTCCTCATTTCATGGCATTGTAATACATAGAGCATTCTTACATCCATTGGGAAGAGAAAACAAAAAAAAAAAAAAAAAAAAAATGTTTTCAAAACAAAGGAAATAAATTTTTTGGGAAAGTATTTCTAAAAGTGTTTGCGAAAACCAGACGCTTAGGAGACGCCTAGTGGTCCGTGATGTTAGTGTAGTCTAGAAGGGAGTGTGGTTGAGCAAACTAGGCTGGATGCGACACCTTGGAGGTGCCTTGTGGTCGTAGATAGTTAGTTAACCCCCTTTCGTGACGCCTTGGAGGTGCCTTGGATCGGATTACACTAACGATTTGGTTGTTTAAACGGAATTGTTTCAAAATTGGGGAGTGACATTTGCATAACATTGCACTTCGTGGCATTTTAGTAAATCTGTGATTGGTTAACATTTGCTATATATTTGTTGTTGTGGTTGAGAATATGTATTCCCCATGGTATGACCTCGTTTCTTTTTACCTCTTTCTTATGTGGATTCACAGGGTCATAAGAGTGTGTCTTAGACACTTCCTACTAAGTTTATATTCACCCCATTATTTTTAACATTTTTCAAGACACAGAAAAGAGGTGACGGACGACAATTCACCACAATTTTAGACGAGCTTGGAGACTCATTTTATTTTGCTATCTTTTGTATTAGAACTCTAATATTTTGTAAATGTAATCTTAACTATTTTGGGAAACTTTAGTTTAATTGGTACAATGTTGTAATATATGGACTTTTAAATTCTAGCTACATTTTATGGATTATAACTTGATGTAACTAAGGTGTATTTCTTGTTTGGATGAAATGGTGGAAGGGGATTTTTTATACTTATGCAATCATTTTGGGAATGTAATATAATAAATGTATTATGCGTTAGGACATGATAGATTATTTTTAAGGCCAGTGAGGCTATTGCATTTTTATTTATTTATTTATTTTTTATTTCAATAGGTTGTAGATGGACTTTTTCTATGGAGGCCATGCCGAAATTTTATATATTTTATTATTATTATTATTATTTTGGTATCTTTTTAGGTTGTTACACACAACCTTACTCTATCAGGAAATGTCTGTCTAATAATCAAATATGCCATATCATATAAACCAAATTAACTAGAACTCCATTCACATGCAACCAAAGTACAGTGTTTTAGTAACTTGAAGAACTCAAACATTAATAAGTGAATTAGCCCCCTTCACATGCAACCAAAGGACAGTGTTCAGTGTTTTAGTAACTTGAAGAACTCAAACATTAATAAGTGAATTAGCCCCCTCACATTTCTACATGCCTCAACCCTCCTAAATTCTAATACACACACACACACACACACACACACATAGCCTAAACTGATAGAACACATAATGCTCTGTTTCTCTAGTCAAACTCATCATCAAATGTTTGGTTTCTTTGCCTCCTCATTCTTGATCCCCACGACATATTCCTTGTTGAATCTTTATGTTCACTTCTTCGCCTCATCTCCATGAGTTGAGCCTCCCAATTGTCCTTCCATTCACCACACTTCTCAGATCTCTGATTAAAAAAAATTCCAAATGAATATATAAAAGGTTGGTAAGTGAGGAGTGAAAACAAATCTATAAAAACCATATTATATAAACATATACATATATATATATATATATACATATATATATATAATATATATGTACGCGCACACACATGTGACAGAGGCTAAATTTGAGCCTACTAATAAAGTCATCAAAAACGTCTGTCCATTTCACAGTTAAGCTATGCTTGGAAGCACAGAATCAACACTTTGAAATTGGAATCAGAGAAAATTTAGTTAAAACTTTCAACTAAATTTCCTTAATGTTAATGCTATGTTTGGCAGCTCTGAATCAACGAGATTGGATTTGAATTCAATTCCAAGCCTCCAATTTAGTACTTCCAAACGGAAGTGAAGTACTAGGTGTGTGAAGTGGCAAGTGAACTCATTGTTCAAAACAATATATGTGCACAAACATGAAAACACATATTCACACAAACACACAAAACACATTTATATAGAGAGAGCGCTAAACCTGGTCATATTGGGAGCGTTTTCTAGCAGAGAAAGCCAAGTGCAGACCCTTAGCCAAATCTCTGTCATATAACGCTCTGGTTTTCAGGTCAGACAGAGTTTCATAAGCCTCGTGAACCCGAATGAACCTCTCTGTGTACTCCTCCATGTGGTCGGGCCGTGACACGTCCGGGTGGTACTTCCGAGCCATTTGCTTGTAGGCTTGTTTGATCTCGGAGAGAGTCCCACTCTCCGATATGCCCAATAGCTCGTAAAAACTATGTGTGGCCTGTGCTGTCATGCTCAGGTGGTCATTAATGGCCGCTTTTGTTCTGGTTCTGTATGACCCAGATGGGTTTTTGATGGAAATGCTAGGTTTTAGGAGATGGGTGTTGAAAAAAATGTGAGAAGGTGGTTCAGAAATTGGTTTTTTGGTTGGTATATGAGGGTTTGTGCAGAGGTGCGAGTGAGCTCTGTTTCCAGTTCCAGATATCATTCCTTGTCTCATTTTTCTTTTCTTTTCTTTCTGATCTCGTTTTTTTCTATATGTATTACTACTTTATAGCTATCTATATCTAGAGAGAGAGAGAGAGAGAGAGAGAGAGAGATAGAGAGGAGCCTGTTTGGGGGATGCTCTATCTTGTTCTGTGCCCTTCCCTACAGTGCAAATGGACACTATTGAGGACAAGTTGACCCCATAGAGTGGGAAAGGAAGTTAGGGCCTGTTTGGGGGATACTCTATCTTGTTATGTGCCCTTTCCTACAGTGAAAATGGACATTATTGAGGACACCAACTTGTTTGGCATGGGCTGCATTGTGTCCAACAGTGGAAGAACAATTTCCAAGAATGGGCCAATTTTCGGAACAAAAAATTCGTGTTCCAAAGTGTACCCAAAATAAAGCCAGCTCACTATTCACTGTAGAAAGGAGAACAACAGCCCAAAGTTGGAGCATACATATTTAAAGAATCAGTGGAACATTGCCCTAATTGTGAACTGTTAGGCGCTGAATGTTATACATTTTAGCCCCTTTATTTGTATGTTTTGTTCACTTAATAATACTTTATTTGTGATTTTACATTGTTTTATTGTTTTTATTTATTTCAGGGCTTTAATTGTAAAATCAGTCAAGACTAGTAATTCTGAGCTTTACAAGATGACTTTTCGTGGGACTGAGCAATGTTGAAGATTCAAGTCTAATTATACGTAGAAAATAGTCCAAAAGAAGCCACAAGTTGATAAGAATGGAAAGAAGAAGAAAAAGAAAACTCCTTCTCCAAAAAGGAAACTTTCGCCAAAGTTGGTAACTTGAACCCATTTTGGAAATCTGGCTATATCTCTCCCCTCAAACGTCAAAATAGCTAAATTCTTGCCCAAGTTGATAGGAAATTCGAAGAGCTACAATTTTGTGTTTCATGAGCTTTCCCTAAAACAGCTGTTTACCTTGTCAAAATTGGCCTAGAAGTCTGCACGAATTTGGGAGTCCTTATTCGACATAATTTCTATGTATGTCTCCTTTATGAAAAAGGGAACTTTAGGGTTGATCTTTTATTATTTAAAGGGGGTCCTCTATAACATTAAAGGATATACAGAAGAGTTTGAGGCTGAGATCAGAGGAGAAGCATTCACAAGAAAGAAGAGATCGATCCATGGCGGTGAAGATGTCTTCCTCAACCATGAAGAATTACACTCCAGTCATGCTTGGCTAAACGCTTTGCTAGGGTTGTGATGTAGCCTTAGCTTAGCGCTCTGGTTTGATTGTATTTAATTATTAGAGAAACAATTTTTATCATGCATGATTGTGTAATCTATAGGGTTTTTAATTGAATATTCAATAAGAATCGGTTTTAGAGTTTTAATTCGATTACAAATATTTTTCTATCTTGTCTTAGATATTTTAATCTTGTAATTGAACACAACTCATTCACTTCTTGTAGTTGTGAATGAGATGATTACACAATGATTTTTATCTGAATATAATGTTAGAGATTTGATGAATTATGCCTAGAAAAGATAGACCATGCTACACCCTAGAATAAAGTAGTTACGTAGATGGTTTATACCAATTGAAGATAGTCCATGCTTAGTTTTAAATTATATTATTCTCTAACTGAATTAATCTGTGCTTGTTATATCATATATTTTCAATAAATTGATGCAATTGACTAGTGGTGCGACGTTAGTGGTGAAGTCATACCCCGAGTTTTCTCTCTCTATTTTCTACATCATATTTGATCATCGTTCTTTAGTTTATTTTTCTACTTAGTTAATTTAGAATTAATCATCACAATTCGATTATCCTATTTTCAAGTTAATTTTGAAATTTAAGAAATCTGTTGACAAACTTATTTTACACAAGTCCCTTGGGTACGACACCCTTACAAGTAAACCCTATCTGCAAAGATTCGTGCACTTGCGAGTGGTACATATAAATCTCACAACAAGTTTTTTGCGCCGTTGCTTGGGACTTGTTTTAGTTCTTGACAGATAATATTAAATTCTACAATTAATTTCAATTAGGATCTTAGTTTAGGATTTTATTTTATTTTATTTTATTTTATTTCTTTATTTTGATACTATTTTCTTTTAATCATTGCAGGTGACATTATATGCTTGGAAGACGTTCTTTGTCACTCCCTCAGCTTCCGTTAGACCCAGAAATTGAAAGGACTCTCAGAAACTTAAAGAAAGAAAAGATGGCGGATGATTTACCAATTGCAGAGGCAGTTCACTGTTTAAAGGATCACTACGAACAAGGTGCATACAACTCTTCATCTGCAGTTCGGTATCCTCAAGTGAGGGCCCCTCACTATGAAATTAAGGCCAGTACTCTTCAATTACTACCTTCTTTTTACTGCCTATCAAAAGAGGATCCATACTGGCACTTGGATGACTTTACAGAGGTGTGCAGAACAATAAAAATCCAGAATTTTGACGATGATGTGCTCCAGCTACACCTTTTCTCCTTTGCATTAAAGGACAAGGCGAAGGACTGGTTTAATTCATTGCCAGCCGATACCATCACTACATGGGCTGAATTGCAACAGAAGTTTTTAAACAAGTACTTCCCCATGGTGAGAATTACTCAATATCGAGATGCTATTACTCGTTTTGCTCAAGAGCCTGGTGAGCCTTTTCATGAGGCTTGGGAAGGATTCAGAGACGTCCTTCGGAAGTACCCTTATCATGACATGCCAAAATGGCAGCTTGTCAACTTCTTTCATAAGGGGCTCAATGAGGCACAAAGGTATATGGTGGATGCCTCTTGTGGTGGAAATTTTATGTTGAAAAGTGTAGAGGAAGCATGGCAGCTCTTCAAAAATATATCTGATAATTTTACACAACATGTCTTACCTCCCGTTGCAAGACCTCCTACCATATTGAGGAGAGCAAAAAGTGTGAATGAAGCAGGAATAAATCAAGGGCTAGTGAGCCAAATTGAGGCATTAACCAAGATGATGGATCAATTAATGACTTCACAGTCAAATTTTACTCCTCCTGCGACTCATGCTCAAGGCTTTGAAGTGTGCTCTTTCTGTTCCAGTCCAACTTACCATGTGTCCATTTGTCCAAGTGCATCTCAGTATTCAGGAATTTCACATGAGCAAGTTAATGCTGCCTATGGAACGCCTAGAGGGAATAATATGTATTTAAACACTTACGATCCGGCTTGGAGAAACCATCCATGGAGAAATCAAGCCATAGGGACATCAGCTCCTCCACCTTAAGTACCTCAAGTACAAGGCAATTTTCAATCTCAAGTCCAGACTTCGAATTCTCAAGGATTCACTCCTATGAATGCCTTCAGTCAACCTCAACAATTCTTATCAATGCTCGAGGCAATGATAACAAAGCAGTTAGAGCCAACTAATCAACTTGTGCAGTCTCATTCTCAATCCCTTGCCAAGTTAGAGACTCAAGTTGGCCAACTAGCTCAAGCCTTGAATAGAAGAGAAGATGGCAAGATTCTTAGTCAACCAGTGGCTAACCAAGAGGTGTGCATATAATTGATGACATTACTGGCCAAGAAGTTCACCATGAACAAGTGAAAGCAATTACTACTCTCAAAAGTGGTAAGAGAGTTGAAAACAAGGTGGAAGAAGAGGAAGCAAAGAAGGATGAAAAGTGGAAGAAAAGACTTGAAGAGAAAAAGGGGCGGAATGAAAAAGCACAAGAAGTACCTCCAACTACAAAGCCATTTCCAGAACACAAGCATGTTGTTGTGCCATCCCCTTAGAGACTACAAGAAACGTCAAGGACAGCAAAGCAAGCAAGCAAAATTCAGGACATAATGGAGATATTCAAATAGGCGAAGATTAATCTCCCATTGCTTGATGCAATTCAACAAATTCCAGCTTACGCTAAATTTCTGAAAGATATGTGTACTCAGAAAAGGCGTTCAAATAGTCATGTTCCTAAGAAGGTACTATTAACTGAGCAAGTCAGTTCCATAATCCAGCACTGCACTGCTCCAAAATTCAAAGATCCAAGCGCTCCAACAATTTCATGCACAATAGGGAATCATCAAGTAGAGCGAGCTCTCTTAGATTTGGGTGCAAGTGTAAACCTTCTTCCTTATTCGGTTTACTTGCAACTCGGATTAGGAGAATTGAAGCCTACCTCCACTATTCTCGAATTAGCAGATAGGTCAACCAAACAACCTCGTGGCGTCATCGAAGATGTGATTATCAAAGTAGATAAATTTTACTTCCCAGTGGACTTTATTGTACTAGATACCGAGCCAGTTCTGGAGCCAAGGAGGCACATTCCAGTGATCCTGTCCTTTCCTTGCGACAGCAAATGCTAGCATAAATTGCAGGAATGGCGTTATGGACTTATCTTTTGGCAATATGAAGGTGCGCTTAAATATTTTCAACGCCAGTAATTGCCCTTCAGATGATAAGGATTGTTTTCTTGTCGATTCCATCGATAAATGTGTTGAAGAGATGGCCCCATTTGCCTTGAAAAAAGATCCACTAGAAGCATGCCTGTCTTACTTTGATGCCGAGTCATTTGATGTTGAGAAAAATATTAAAGAGGTAAATGTCATTCTTGATGGAGCCAATATGCATAACATTCCGCCATGGAAAATTCCTATTGAGCCACTTCTACCATTGTCAAGTGAACCACCTACGCCATCGTTGAAGTCTCCACCAAAGCTAGAGCTGAAGTCGTTACCTTCTCATTTGAAGAATGCATATCTTGGCCCAGAAAACACTCTTCCATTGCATAATTCATTCTCGGATAAGCAGCTATTTCAACTTCAGAAAGAGACTTCACCATGGTATGCTGATATTAGGAATTGGAAGGCGTCAAGAAAGAAGACAGTTCGGCTGGATCGGAAGGATTGGTACATTGAGGATTTCATGCCTACGGAAAGAGTTTAGTCCGTCACTTTGACGGATCCCAACTACTCCACCTAAACGTCCAGGTATCACATCGCCTACCGACATTAAATGTAGGAACTGTAGATAGGATTTTCATTTATTTACTTATTTATTATTTATTTATTTATTTATTTTTGTGTGTTTTATTTTAGTAGATTAAGAAGATTTAATGTGTTTCGTAGGGTATTTAGTTACTTGTGCAGGATATAAGTTGAAGCGTCATGCTTGTTTCGAAGAAAATAAAAAATTCCATGGCATACAAAAAAAACAAGGTTGATTTGAGCAGATCCGAGCATTTTTTGGGTCTAAACATCCACTAAAAATTGGTGCAAAACTGCCTTCCAATGACAAAGTTATGGCCATTTGAAGTTTAATTCCAAAAAAAAAAAGAAAAAAAAGAAAAAAAGATCCAGCCCAGAGCAGGTCGGGCGTCGCCCGACCCATGGGCGACCATCGCCCGAGTGAGTTTTTTTTGTCCGACAGAAGAAACAGTAGCTTCAGCGTTGGGCAATCATTCGCCTAGCTTCACGGCGACCATCGCCCGGAATTGTTTTGGCAAGACCCACATAATGAAAGGGCGACCATCGGTCCGTATCACAGCGACCGTCGCCCGGTGATTAATTCCGTCAGCGGCACAATAGAAGTTCCAGCGCCAGGCGATCATTCGCCCGGCTCGATGACGACAGTTGCCCATCATGGGAGACGCAACCGCAGCCAACAGCGCCGGCGATTTTTTTTTTTTTTTTCCCGGCAGAAGCAATAGCCCACGGCGACTTAGTCGGCAACAGAGGACCATCGCCCAGCCAATCTTTTTTCCAGCGCCATCACAGACCCCGTTCTTTACAGGCTACGGTTTCACCGGCTCTTCAACCAGCGATTTCTATTTCATCTCTCCGTTTCTTCTTTTGCCGGTGGGTTTCTCCATCTCTTTTCCGGCAACGTGGGTCTTCTCCGGCACCGTTTTGGTTGTGGGCTAGCATCATTGTCGATTACAGTGGTCGAATTGTTTGGTTGTTGATTACATTGGCTGACGTGGGGTTGTGATTGGGTGTTTGAATTTGGCTTATTGTTAATTCATGAAGAAAAAAAAACAAATGGAGTTTTGTTTTGACATAAAGTGATCGTGAACTAGATATTCCATCATCATAAACCAAATTCACCCAATGTCAAAAAATGAAAATTCTTTCCCCATTCACCACATCTACACTAATTTTCCTCAGACAACCTTCACCATGCCGTTTCCTTTTCTTCCTCCTTCCTCACCATCTCTATATCTCCCTTATTCATCCCACTAGATAATCCTTCACCATACCCACTTCCATTACCACTACTTGATTACCCGTACTGTTTGCACAAATTTAAAGAAAAATCAGAGACTCAAGGCACATTATCAAGAAATTGGGTGAGATGTCCCGACTCAGAGTTGACATTCAAGAAATCCTTCAGAATCAAAGATCACTGATGGACATGATGCGTGTGCTTATGATTTATAACACGCTTAATCCTGAAGCTCCGCCACCTCCATTTTAGCTATCCTATCAAGTCCTTTTGTTCTTTGTTTTTATTTTTTATTTTTTAATTATTATTTTTCTTGCTTTTGATTTTTGCCCAGTGAAGACACTGTCCAATTCAAGTGTGGGGGCATAACATTTACTCTAGTTGTATTAAAATACTTTAGTTGTTATATATATATATATTTTTAACAAAAAAATTAAACTTAAAATTAGAAATATTTATAAAAAAAAAAAAAATTCAATTCTTTTTTTTTGACATATTGACTTTAATTCAAGTATTTGAGAATGATTGTGGGGATCAAGACACTTAAGTACTTTTTAAAATTCTTTTTTGAGATTGTCTTGAATCCTTAATTTTCGTTCTTTATTTTATGTGGGTTCCACTATCAAGTGTGATACGAATTTTAGTATTGTCGGTCCCTGATGGATTTCACACGCACACTAGAATTTTATCTATGCATATTTGTATTTTTGGTTGTATTATGATAACTATGGATGTATATGAATTGGTGAACTTTGAAGGTTATTACTATGATTAAAATATATATATATATATTTCGTAACCCTTTCATGGAGTAATCGGGACTCATGTATCGTATGCATAGAGTGTTCGCATGAAGAAATGGGGGTAAGGATAAAGAAAAAAAAAAGAAAAAAATAATAATATTTTGTCATAGAAAATAATTTGAGAAGGAATCTGAGGAATTGAAGCTATAGAAGTTGGGTTCAATTGAAAAGACATTGATACATAGGTGATTTGCTAGTTCACAAATTTCACAACATTGAGGATTGATTTTGCTATTGTTCTTGTTATATAAGTGTGTGGGAAACATTGGGATGAAGTATGAAATAGGGACAAAAGAGTATAGTTAGATGATAATTTTTAAAGTACTTTTGTGTAATCTTCTCCTTGATTATTATGATGATATGAGAAAAAATTGATTGCCAGGGGATTGAATTGTGTTATATGTTTGTGGGTATCATCTCTGGAAACCCTCACGAGACTTCACTCGTCCACTAAGGGTAACTTAGGGGTTTAAAAGGCTTGTTGCGTACGCTAAATGCAATTGTGATTCCCACGAAAGCGGCATTTATGTTTTCTTTAGTTTTATTGCTATGGGACTAGCAATATGTAAGTTTGGGGATATGTTAGGCGCTGAATGTTATACATTTTAGCCCATTTATTTGCATGTTTTGCTCACTTAATAATAGTTTATTTATGATTTTACATTGTTTTATTGTTTTTATTTATTTTAGGGCTTTAATTGTAAAATCAGTCAAGACCAGTAATTCTGAGTTTTACAAGATAACTTTTCATGGGACCGAGCAATGTTGAAGATTCAAGTCTAATTATACTTTAGAAAATAGTCCAAAAGAAGCCACAAGTTGATAAGAATGGAAAAAAGAAGAAAAAGAAAACTCCTTCTCCAAAAAGGAAACTTGCGCCAAAGTTGGTAACTTGAACCCGTTTTGGTAATCTGGCTGTATCTCTCCCCTCAAGCGTCAAAACAGCTAAATTCTTGTGAAAGTTGATAGGAAATTCGAAGAGCTACAATTTTGTGTTTCATGAGCTTTCCCTAAAACAGCTGTTTACCTTGTCAAAATTGGCCTAGAAGTCTGCACCAATTTTGGGAGTCCTTATTCGACAGAATTTCTATGTATGTCTCCTATATGAAAAAGGGAACTTTAGGGCTAATATTTTATTATTTAAAGGGGGTCCTCTACAACATTGAAGGATATACAGAAGTGTTTGAGGTTGAGATCAGAGGAGAAGCATTCAGAAGAAAGAAGAGATCCATCCATGGCGGTGAAAATGTCTTCCTCAACCATAAAGAATTCCACTCCAGTCATGCTTAGCTAAACACTTTGCTAAGGTTGTGATGTAGCCCTAGCTTAGCACCCTAGTTTGATTGTTTTTGATTATTGGAGAATTTTTTTTCATCATGCATGATTATGTAATTTATAGGGTTTTTAATTGAATCTTCAATAAGAATCGGTTTTAGAGTTTTAATTCGATTACAAATATTTTTCTATCTTGTCTTAGATATTTTAATCTTGTAATTGAACACAACTCATTCACTTTTTGTAGTTGTGAATGACATGATTACACAATGGTTTTTATCTGAATATAATGTTAGAGATTTGATGGATTATGCCTAGAAAAGATAGACCATGCTACACCCTGGAATAAAGTAGTTATGTAGATGGTTTATACCAATCGAAGATAGTCCATGCTTAGCTTTAAATTATATTATTCTCTAGCTGAATTAATATGTACTTGTAGCCATGATTAATTCCCTGTGCATGTTATATCATATATCTCCAATAAATTGATGCAATTGACTAGTGTTGCGATGTTAGTGGTGAAGTCATACCCCTAGTTTTCTCTCTCTATTTTCTACATCATATTTGATCATTGTTCTTTAGTTTATTTTTCTACTTAGTTAATTTAGAATTAATCATCACAATTCTATTATCCTACTTTCAAGTTAATTTTGGAATTTAAGAAATCTGTTGACAAACTTATTTTACACAAGTCCCTTGGGTACGACACCCTTACAAGTAAACCCTAGCTGCAAAGATTCGTGCACTTGTGAGTGGTACGTATAAATTTCACAACAAACTTGCCTTCATCTCTATTCTCGTTCTTAACTGTGAACTTGCCCTAATTTCTTAAAAAACACTCTGAACTTGCCCTTTCTCTCTCTCTGCAACTACAAGCTATAAAATCTACAAGAATCAGAAATTCGAAACCCACCTCCATCTCTATTCTCGTTCTCAATTCTGAAGTTGCCCCCTCTCTCTCTACAACTGCAAACTACAAAATCTAGCAGATCTGTGAACTTGCCCCCCCTCTCTCTCTCAAGAACCCCATTGATTCATACATAGATAAACTCAAACTTAGCTTTTTACAGCTAATTGAAAAGGACCCTCTTGGCTCTCTGATTTTATTTGACTATTTCTATTCTTCCTTCTATATCAGTTCTCTCTAGGTAAACAGGTAGATTAACCCAAAAATTACCGAATACGATTTGTGCGTTGCTGAAAACGATCTCTATCTCACCTCTGCGTTTTCCGGCGAACCCCACCTCTGCGTTTTTCGGCGAACCCAAAGCTTCGGCGCATAGATCTGTCACTCCGGCTAGCTCTTATGCGCTCTCGTCTGCCGATACCGACGAACCCCACATCTGCGTTTTTTAACTGAATTTTTGTTTGATCCAAATTCTCAAATCTCTTGCAATTTCTTCACATATATATATATATATATAGCAAAATAGCTTGAATCCTCATTTTTTATATTTGTCTATCTGAAATTTTAAAAAAATTGTTAGATAATATAATATATGACTTATTATTAGATAATATAATATATGATAAAATTTGTTTTTCTATATATATATATACATATCAAAATAGCTTGAATCCTCATTTTTTATATTTGTCTATCTGAAATTTAAAAATTTTAAATTTAAATGGAGAAAGAAA